CCTACCTACCTACCTACCTACCTACCTACCTACCTACCTCCCGCCCTCCCAACCTACCTCCCTCCCTCCCTCCCTACCTACCTCCCTCCCTACCTACCTACCCACCCACCTACCTACTTGCCTCCCTACCTACCTACTTAGTTACCTACCTATCTACCCACTTACTGACTTACCTACTGACTTACCTGCCTACCTACCTACCCACCCACCTATCAAAAGTCTGTAAGGTCCTGTGTCGGCTTGTCATTAGTGTTCTTGAGTAGTTGAGGGGCAGCCAATATTTGCAAATGCCTTCTCTCTAACGATCGCGGGGGAGATTCTCTCAAAACGGCCACTTTATTTCCTTGGGATTGCCAGTATGAGTAACGTTGACGAACTGATGGTCGACTTTGTAAAGGAGCTGGGAGGTCAGGGTTCAAGGACACCGGATGTTTCGATGGCCCCCAGGACATCATGTTCGGGGTATACTACAACTCAACGTGTGTCAAGGTCACTGCTTGCAAGTTCTAGTCACTGGCATCTGTGGTGGAGTGAATAGGTGGTGTACCGTTGCTTGCCGGGGACCTGAGTTCGATTCCTGAGTGGGGAGAAATATTTATCACGTATCTCGGTTTTTGTGCTGGGATCTTGTATCCCTTATTATAGCCTAATCTTGGTTGGCCTTGACAGGTAGGGTTCGGAAGCCGGCCTCCTAAATTGTGTGATGGGGGAGTAATAAAACACCTGTAAAAAAAGTCGTTGAACTGTTTCCGCCATGTGCAATAGAACTGATGACCCTCCACCGTCCTCTTCTGTCGTCCTCGTTTGGTTGTCCACATTCAGCGGGTGGTTTGTGGGCGCCACTACTTCTTTTCTTTCCTTCTGTTGTCTTTGTTGAAGACCTATATCTTATTTCCCTGCGCTAAATTTTTTTCTTCTGTTTTTGTACTTTTTCAATTCTCTTTTAACCAAATTTTAGAGACTTGCACTACTATCTTTGTGTTGGAAGAAAAAGTCACAGTGTCTCGTCTCATCAAATAAGGATTTTATCATTGCCTTTGTGGACGTGGCAACGTTCTGTGGGTCCCCCCCCCCCCCCCCCCACCCTTTTCAAAGCCAGATTTCAGTGTCCATGTTGAATTTTGTGGCGGATAACATTTTACAGAGGAGAAATTGAAGTTAACGTCCAGTCAATAAAAAGTTAAAAAGTGCAATTGCTTTTGGAATTAATAACTTTTTTTTTTCTGAACCATTTTGCAGATTTTCGTTAATTTGATAACCCACGCATTGCACTTTTGCTTGATGCACCGATTTATGATTCTTCTTTCACCATTTTGATGACTCAATTTGTTTTGGCTCACATGGTTTCATGTTGCCTTATTTTGTCACTAGCTGGGTACCCGTTCGATGAATGGACTCAAAAGAATCGACCGTTAAGTCATTGTGGAACTTGTGCGCACTGCTTGTGAACGCATGCCTCACTTGATTACTATTGTGTCGTAGACCCAAGATTAGACCTAAACGAAACTAATGAAAAACTGAAAATTAAACTACAGTAACTTCAGACTCCTTAATATAACTGTACACCTTTTGAATGATTCTGAACCACTGTTAATTTTTTCAAATTCGAAAGTTAAGTGTTTCAGAAGTTTTAGGCAACCAAATTGAGGAACTTTCACAAATATAATATGTATATATAGATATCAATGGGGAAATGTTCGTCACAGAGTTCAGGACAGATGATTTCCTCCAACAGATTTATTATTGCGAGAAGATCAGAATTGCCAAATTCAGAATAAGACTATTCAATTTGCTTTGAAATACTGATTCGATATCAATAGTATCAGTCAGTCTGAAACAGAATCAATATAATAGAACAGGGAAGAGCACATTATGATAATGGCAGTCTGAGGAGATTCTGCAAATATGTGGTGCAAAATCTCTTCCCAAGACAATGACAGCCATGCTGTCTGTGACATATTCACAACATAAAGTAGTGGTTCCCTTGATGTACCTGCGATTCTCTCATTCTTTTTACTTCTTTAAAGATAAAAGTTTTGCAAATTTGTGTTTTTGATTTGTGTATTAGGCCTGTAGTTCGAAATATGCCACAGCCTAGTCTGTCAGATATATATATATATATATATATATATATATATATATATATATATATATATATATATATATATATATATATATATATATATATATGTATAAATATATATATATATATATATATATATATATATGTGTGTGTGTGTGTGTCCACTACGTCCTTAGAAGTGTCAATGTGTCGTGGGCGGTATTCGACCTTGTGTCCTTGGTAAAGGCGCTTTACAGGAATCTTCCTCACTTAGCCCAGGTGAATATATAATAATATATTATGTGTCCACTACGTCCTTACAGTGTCAATGTGTCATTATCTTGTCCAGGGTTCCCCCGACAGCCAGCTGAGCATGGGTCCCCTCAAGATGGCTGCCATGAACGGGCTGACTCTCTCCAGATCTATGGTTCTCTCGCTCATGAACGACGACAGTCGGGCGCCAAAGGACGACAGGGTAAGTGCTCTGTGACCGATGTGGGAGCAGGTCGCGACCTCAGTGCTCTCTTGTCCTATCCATTTTTTTTAACAGTGAAAATATGACTTCTTCTTATGCTCACTCTTTGTTATGAACTGTTTTCTCAGTTTAAAAAAAAGAAAGATTCGACAAGAAAGCAGATAAGTGGTTGGCAGGTGCTCTGGTGTGGTTTGCTCCTTCTTCCTATCAAACATCTATCGTCCTCATCTCCCCTTCTTCTTTTTTATGTTTGTTACTCTCTTGTAACACCTCTAATCTTCTGGCGCTCATATGACCTTATGCAGTTGTGATCGCTGTAAAACATCTACTCAAACTAAAACTAAACAAGTTCAAAATAAGGAATAACCCCCACCCCCTATAGGTGAGGTGAGAAGTGGTCTTTTGAACACGGGATTGGATTACTTGGATCCAGAGCTAGAATTATAGCTGGTGGCACATGTCCTTAGCTGCTCATCTCTCCTTTCCGGCGTCCACCCCAGGGTCTTCCTGCTAATTGTCTCCATGAGGAGCTAGTTTGAGACACGCCTGACCACTCCTCGGAGCTTCTTCTTTCCTATCAAACATCTATCGTCCTTATCTCCCCTCCTTCTTTTTTTGTGTTTGTTACTCTCTTGTAGCACCTCTAATCTTCTGGCGCTCATATGACCTTACAGCAGTTGCGAGTGCCGTAAAACCTCTACTAAAACTAAACTCCTCGGAGCAATCTTTTTTCCCTGTGCCCCGCACACACTTTTCTTTTATTGTGCTGAGTGTTGGAGTCTGTCTCCTGTGGTGATTGTCTTCGGTAGATGGCTGTCAGACCAGGTTAGACTGTGCTTGTCAGATGAATTGACTTTGCCCCGGTTGCTGTATTTGTCTAGTTACTCTTTGAAATAAGATATAAGTATAAAGAGAGAAGTAAAATTATTTTAGCTCGGTATGTCGGTTCATTTCGTTAAAGAAAAACGTGAAATTGTGGGGCAGGAATTGTGAATTTGATGAGCTGAGTATGCTTTGATTTCCCCTGACTGTGGCTTGGGTGACATTTTTGGGGAAAGAAAGTGTTTTCTGAAACTTACGTTTACCATATGTGAAGGGTGCCGACAAAATGAGTTACTTCTCGGATTTGAGCCCTATGGAAATCGCTACATCACGCTTATAGGTGAAGATTTTACAATTTATAAGTATGAAGTAATATAAGGCATGTTTTACTTAAAGAATATGACCAATGGAAAATCTACAAATTTGACCCTAGTGTCGATTTGTGGCCAATATCTCCATTTGTGGATTGTGAGAAGTAACTCATTTTGTCAGCACGTCTCACATATATTCCTACTTCTGTGCCTAACAAAGGAAAATCATCGTCTTCCAACTCAATTTTGACACTAGAATATTTTCTTTTCCTCGCAGCGTCGCATGTTGGAGAGCAAAATCTCCGAAGGTCAAGTGTACGCCGAGTTTGAGCAAATACCAAAGAAGTCGACCAACAACGAGTGCAATGTGGCGCGAGCGCCGTACAACGCGACCAGGAACAGGTTCAAAGACGTCCAGCCCTATGACTACACGCGGGTCAAGCTCACGCCAAGGAAAGATAATCCCGACGGTTATATCAACGCCTCCCACATCAAAGTGAGTACTGGTGGATCTGCTCTGACGGACACTCCCCCCCCCCCAAACCAGGGCAGTGCTACTGACTCAACTTGTGTTTTGGCCATTCCCAAAGGGGGGATAGTAACATGTTCTTATGCGTAATAGAATTGTAAATGGGCTGATTTATCAATGTGATGCTCATACTGTGCCTGAACAACATGGGGAACTGCTGCTTTGTCTTTCCTCATCCTTCCTATCGTCATTTCTAGTCTACTTCTTGTGTGAACTGCTATTTCCAGGGTGCTTTGATAGTCGAAGCAGACTTTGTGCTGTTGAAGCTAGAGAGGTGAGCAGAGTAAGCCTGATTCCCTAAAATCACCTACATTAAAGATTAATAAATTATTTATTTTTTAAAGTTTCTTTGTGGGAGGTTGGCGGGTGCTCTGGTGTGGTTTGCTTCTTCTTTCCTATGAAACATCCGTCGTTCTTATCTACCCTTCTTCTTTTTTATGTTTGTTACTCTCTTGTAACGCCTGTAATATTCTGGCACTCATATGACCTTATGCAGTTGCGAGCACCGTAAAACCTCTCCTAACACTAAACAAAAAATTTCTTTCTCCAGCCTGAACTCCAAGCATGTGGTAATAAGATAATGACTGTGAAGAGACAACGATCGCAGGCTTTCACTGGAGGCTCGAGTTTGATTCCTGAGTTGGGAAAATTTGTATTTATATGAAAATCAAAACGTTTTGTTTTTTAATTTCAAGTTTCTTTGTCGAACCTGAACTCCAAGCATGTGGTAACAAAATAGTATCTGTGATGAGACAACGATCATACGGAAACCTTCACATACAATGGATACCAGGACATTGCGACGTCCACGGGAACGACCGAGCTGACGCCCTGGCCAACAAGGGAGGCCGCCTCGACCAGTCCAACACTCCAGTCAATCTCGCGTCAGTAAGCTCGTGCATCTCGCGTTACATCATTGCCCACGCATGGGAGAAAGCGCGAGTGCACGACTCCGTCGGGGGAAAGGTGCAGCCATCACCGGAGAGGGACAAAGAGAAGGACCTTACCGTCAGACAGAGAAGAGTGTTATCGCAGCTAAGATGCAACGCGAAGAGCCCCATCCTGCAGGCGTATCTCCTTACAATAGGCTCCGCTCCCAATGATTCCTGTCTGGCGTGTGGCGCAAGTCCTGACGACCTGCAGCACGCACTGTATGAGTGCCCGCGGGGGGAAGCACATCGAGGCAAAACGCGAGACCGGGTCCAGATGTACTCTGGGCGAGGCCACAAGAGGTTGCCTCTTACCTGTCTGCCTGCGGCAGACTGCTGCCATCCAAACGGAGGCCTGCCAGAGGAAGGAAGGAAGGAAGGCAACGATCTCAGTTTTTTCCCATGCTGAGAGTTCAGGTCCCCCACCCCCCCCAAAAAAAGCTGCCAAAAGCTAATTTGTGAAGTCACCCGCTGTTCAGAGCAGTTCATGTTGTTTTTGTCTACAGCTGACGGCGAACGAGAACAAGTGGCTATTTATAGCGACACAAGCCCCGCTAGAGAACACGGCCGTCGACTTCTGGCAGATGGTGTGGGAGAACCAGGTGGATGTGCTGGCCATGTTGACCCAGTTTCAGGTGAGTCGCGGAGCTGAGGATGTGGGCTTGTGCTACTGTTTACTGTTTAACCCTATCTGTACGCCTGGGCTCATTTTGTACCCCCGGGGTTGTATTCTTCACATGTTAGAATACTTCTAGTGCGAAGGTCTCTTTGAAACTTTCAGTATTTCTCAAAAAATCATTTCGACAGACTGCTATGCAAAGCGTACGGATCGGATTAACGAGTAAATTTCCTCTTTGGAAAGTGGTGGCTAAGAGTTCCCCACGTTGTGTGGATACGACAGTAAAACTTGACGTACGGAGAGGGTTAAACATTTTTTTGTGCATGGTTGAATTGGTAATTTTTGCAATTTCTAAAGAAATTCCGGAATGTAAGTCTCTCTTGAGATGTGTAAGGGGTGCTGTGGTATTGGAATCTAAACAGAGAATTTGTATTGCCTACTTGTAAATGCATGCCGCATCTGTGTATGTCTGTCAACTGTAGGTCATCTTGATTTTTTTTTGTTTGACTGCCCTGCTGTGTTCAGGTATTATTGATATATAACCTCTACTAAAACTAAAAACTAAACACCCACACCCATACCCCCCCCCCCCCCCCAGGAGCTGGGCAAGCCCAAGTGTTACACGTACTGGCCCCAGGAGCCGGGACCAGAACACAAACAGGTGTACGGGGAGGTGAGTCCGCCGGTTTGTAGATTAGGAGCCTGGGCAAAACAAGATTAGCTGTTTAGACACTAAGGTTTCATTGTTTGTTTAATTTTGTCACTTTTTGGGGGTTGGGTGGGGGTTTTGGGGTTGGTATGTATTTATGTAATATTTTATTGTGTGTTTTTATGTAATATTTTATTGTATGTTTTAAAAAAAATATTTATTGTATGTTGTTATGCAATATTTATTGTATGTTTTAATGTAATACTTTATCATATTTTATAGTGTGTTCTTTATATGTTTTATGTTTTACTGTATGTTTTTATGTATGCGGCTATGTATTATTTTGTTTTATGTTTACTGTGTTTTATTGTATGTTTTGTGTTTCTTATGGTTTAGTTTCCCCTTTGATGTAATTTTAGTATAGATTGTAAAAATACTTACAGCTCTTTGTGGCTTGATTATTTGTTTTCTGTCTTTTATTGTTCGTTTTCACATGATGTACTCTAAGTGTGTGTGTGTCAATTTTTCCATAATGTTCTCTGTGTGTGTGTGTCAGTTTTTACATGATGTTGTATCCGTGTGTGTGTGTGTGTCAGTTTTTCCATGATTTTACATGATGTTGTCTGTGTGTGTGTGTGTCAGTTTTTCCATGATTTTACATGATGTTGTCTGTGTGTGTGTGTGTCAGTTTTTCCATGATTTTCCATGATGTTGTCTGTGTGTGTGTGTGTCAGTTTTTCCATGATTTTACATGATGTTGTCTGTGTGTGTGTGTGTCAGTTTTTCCATGATTTTACATGATGTTCTCTCTGTGTGTGTGTCAGTTTGAGGTGGAGCTGCTGTTTACGGACGACTCGCTGTGCTACCTGACCAGCCGCATCCTGGTGCGCCAGGCGGGCAGTCGGAGGGAGCACCAGGTCTGGCACCTACAGTACACGGACTGGCCTGACCACGGGTGCCCCGAGGACACCTACGGATTCTTGGGTGAGTCGTCCGGGAGTGACGGGCGCGATGGGGACACAAGGGGGGGGAGTTACTGGTGCCACAGGGGGGGGGGGGGGGGGGGGTTCTTACCCAGGTGCGACCTCAGTGCTTTTTTGTCCTATCTCCATTTTTAATGACAGTGCAAAACAGTTCATAACAAAGAGTGAGCTTGAGAAGATGTCACATTTTCACTGTTAAAAAAACTGGAGATACGACAAAAGAGGACTGAGGTCGCGAAGGGCTGTCGCAACATGGATGTGTGCTATGTAAATATTTATGCAGTATTGTTATTATCATCATATTTACTATGTTCGTGGTTGGTTGGCGGGTGGTCTGGTGTGGTTTGCTCCTTCTTTCCTATCAAACATCTATCGTCATTATCTCTCCTCTTTTTTTGTGTGTGTGTGTTACTCTCTTGTAACACCTCTATTCTTCAGCACTTATGCGACCTTTTTGTGTTGCAAGTGCCGTAAAACTCTTACGAAAGCTAAAATATTTACTTTACAGTTGAACTTTCTTTTACTACGACCTGTACAGGACAAGCATCTGTACAGACGACCTCTTCCTGGGATGCAAACATAAATTAGATATTACTCTCAGCCTATCATATCAGTGTATGTTCTCAGATTTTTGTAATGATTGTGGGTGGCTGGGGGCAAGTGCAGTGGTGTGGTTTGCTCCTTCCTTCCTGTCAAACATCTATTGTCTTTATATTTCTTCCGTTTTTTGTAATACCTCTGATCTTTGGAACTTATATTACTTAATTCTGTTGCAAGTGCCGTAAAACTCCAACTTGAACTTTTGTAATGCCCCCCGCCCCCCCCTGAGTGGGTGGTTGGCGGGCGCTCTGGTGTGGTTTGCTCCTTCATTCCTATCAAACATCTATGGTCCTTATCACTCCTATTTCTTGTTTGTGTATGTTACTCTCTGGTAAACACATCATCTATTCTTCGGCACTTGTATGACCTTATTGTGTTGCAAGGGCAGTAAAACACTTACTAAAAAATATTTATTTAGTTACATCTGTCATCTTTATCTCCCCTCCTTTTTGGTAATACCTCTGATCTTTGGCACTTATATGATCTAATTATGTTGCAAGTGCCGCAAAACTCTAACTTAAACTTCTGTAATGTCGCCCCCCCCCCCCCCCCCCCCGCCCCCATGTATTAGTTATTAGCTGCTCCCACTCGTGCCATTCACAACTTAATTTTGCCCATCAGGTTTCCTCGATGAGATTGAGTCTGTGTCGCGGCTCGCGGAAACAGAGTCTGGCCGCGGGGAAAAGTCGCCGGTGGTTGTGCACTGCAGCGCGGGCGTCGGGCGTACCGGGGTGGTCATTCTCACCATGGTCATGAAGTGGTGTCTGGAACATAACCATGTGAGTTACAGGCGGAGTGTGTTGATTGTGTAATTTGTCTGTCTGTGTTTTTGGGCACAGTTCCTGGACCATAATCATGTGAGTTCGATGCGGAGGTGTGTCAGATGTGTGTTTTGTCTGAGTGTGTTGATTGTGTGTTTTGTCTGAAGTTGTTGTGTCTGTTTGCGTTTTAGTACACAGTTCTTCGAAAGAAAAAAACCCCATAGACAGCATTTATATATCATGAAGTGGTGTCTGGAACATTAATATATCGTGAAGTGGTGTCTGGAACATTTATATGTCATGAAGTGGTGTCTGGAACATAACCATGTGAGTTGTGTCGTGTTTGTCTGCGTTTGTGGGTGGTTGGTTGGCGGGTGCTCTGGTGTGGTTTGCTCCTTCTTTCTTTTCAAACTACTCTCATCTTTATCTCCCCTCCTTTTTTAAAATGTTTGTTACTCTCTAGTAACACCTCTAATCTTCGGCACTTATATGACCTTATTGTGTTGCAAGTGCCGTACAACTCTTACTTAAACTAAACTGTCTGCGTTTTAGCACACTGTTCTTTGAAAGAAAAAAAAAATTAGTAGCATTCTGAGTGTGTCAATTGTATTTTGTTTTTTGTGTTTTTTCTGAATGTGTCAATTGTGTGTTTTCTGTTTTGTGTTTTGTATTTTTTCTAAGTGTGTCAATTGTCTGTTTTGTGTTTTATATTTTTTCTCAGTGTGTCAATTATGTGTTTTATGTTTTGTGTTTTTTATTTTTTCTGAGTGTGTCAATTGTCTGTTTTATGTTTTTTCTGAGTGTGTCAATTGTCTGTTCTGTGTTTTGTCTGAATGTGTTGATTGTGTGGTTTGTCTGCCTGTGTTTTGGCACACAGTTCTGTGAAAGAAGAAAAACCCAATAATAAGTAGCCTCTATATTGTGAGTTTGAGTCCTGTAAGGAGCCTTGGGAAAGGACTTAACACAAACTTTGTAAACTTCATCCAGTTTGAAATGGGCAGCCTGCAATAGGCAGTGAAAGATTTTGTCACTGTGTTTGTGTTTTAGCGTTTGTAATCCACAGCTTGCACTGTATGCTTCCTGGGAAGCCGACACTGTTTCTGAGTGATGTTCTCGGGTCTCCTTTGTTTTAGTAAAGTTTTACGGTACTCGCAGCTGCATAAGGTCATATGAGTGCCGAGGGGTGGATGTCAACAGAGAAGTCTGAATGCGGAATCAGGCTTACTCTGCTCTCCTCTCTAGCCTCAAATGCACAAAGTCTGCTTCGACTATCAAGGCACCTCGGAAATAGCAGTTCACAAGAGAGTGACAAACATACAAAAGAAGTAGAGGAAAAATGACGATAGTAAGGATGAGGAAAGAAAAAGCTGCAGTTCTGGGGTGATGATAGTTGTAAAATGCACAAAGCGTTCTCATTCTGAACAGCGTGGATACACACTATATTATAAATGCAATTATTATTGCTATTTTATCTATGTGAGGCAGCGTGGTGAAATCAGGCGCTCAATAAAATAATCAAAGCGAAGGAACTGGCAATTTTCCACAGGTTTGTGGATTTTTATCGAATTTTCATTTTTTGGCTCAGCACCTTTCATGGCTGTTAAGAATACATTTCTGTTTGGATTTTACTTAAAAATGTTGATTGAAGGCACATTTTCAGTTTCCACTGACTCTCAAGTTGAGGAAATAACGCATCTTTGGCGGCCATTTTCTCACTAATTTTAACTCTGAAACCAAACGACCCCACCTCCTTTGATCAGTGCTTCCACTCTTCCGTATTTTTACGGAAATCCGTACTTTCTGCCAGTTCCGTACTTGTTCCTCCGTCATTATCTACTCCCTCCGTAAAACAAACTGCGACAGTGCAGGACTGCCGAATTTCCGTACCCGCCTTCGTATCGTCTTGTATAAGTTACGGATATTTACGGTATTTCTCTCGGCAACAAGTTAATGTTATAGAAACCTGCCAAATTGCGCATTTCCTGCAATCGGACATTATACCGCTATGTCCCAGTCCCATGCATTCATTGCGTGTTCGTCGGCAGTACTTTTTTTTTTACCTGCAGATGGATCAAAATCTGGTGAACCCTTTGTGCCAATTTCCTCCTTTCTGTCATTCACCCATTCCTTCTGTCTATCTTCGGATTGTTGCCGCGGCTGGAAAATCTGCGCGTTGATCAAGACTGATTTTGATCTTAGACAGAAAATTACTATCAGAAAGGAACTTTTCCCCCAAATTTTATCTAGATCTAGAGAAATTATCAATGCGAAGATTCTACGGCACGTGGACGCAATATAAGGGCCGCGATGAAAGAAATATATGCTTATACGGGCGTGCCCACTACGGATGGGATCAGCCGATTGCGCTGATCGCCCGACTCGGCCGAACAACCGTGTTTGCATTGAAACTGAAAACAAACACGTTTGTTTTTGAGGCGATCGATCGGCCAATCCCGTCCATAGTGAGCACCACGTATAAAATCAAGAATAATTCGAAGTGGTGTTCCGAGGTTGTGACAGGCGACTTTCATACATGAAAATTTAGAAAAAATGTGGGTATACGCTGCGCAACCGTATTTTGCAGGTACATCTATTCATTATTCCCAGGTTTGCCTACTGTCATTGGTGCGACTACAAATTAATTCAATTATAGTAGCAATGAAAGGGGAACCTGCTTTTAAACATTTCCAACATTGGAAAGATATGCTGGTGATGAAGTCGAACAAGACAAAATGTTGGTGAAAAAATAAATATTATGGGCTGTAGGAAATATCTTCAAACAGGCTCCCAAATGCCGTTTTCTACCCTCTAAAAGCACTAAATTTCAATTTAGGCCCCCAGACCCCCTGCAGAATTTTCCTTACTTTTCAGCTTCAGCTGGTGGAAGCACTGTTTGATCTCAAATATCTCGACTTCTATTCATGATGTAGGAGTATTTTTCCCACCCAATTATAAGACAACTGAACCAGCTTTAAGATGACACCAATAACTCCAAATGTTCAAAAATTGACGAGTGCCTGATTCCACCGTGTCGTGACACACTTTTTTTGTGTGTGTTCCAGAATGTTGACCTACCGAAAGCTCTGCTAGGGATACGGAACCAGAGGATGCACATGGTCCAGACGATGGGTCAGTACCGATTTATCCACGACACCCTCATCCAGTACCTCAAAAACACACGGCTCATCTGACCCCGCTGACCCCAGCCGACCCTTGCTGACCTCAGTGACCCTCGCTGACCCCTGCTGACCTCAGTGACCCTCGATGACCCTTGGCGACCTCGCTGATCTCTGTGACATCAGTGACCCTCGCTGACCCCTCCGACCTTTGTGACCTCGGCACAGGAAGAAAAAGAATTTGTGTTGGTTGGTCGACCCTTGCCTTAGAGACACACCCGTGTGTTCACCCGAGCCCGGCTCCTTACCAGACCTGTGTGTGTGTGCGTGCGTGTATGTGTGTGTGTGTGTGTTTGTACGTGTGTGTGTGTGTGTGCGTGCGTGTATGTGCGTGTGTGTATGTGTGTATTTGTGCATGTGTGTGTGTGTTTGGACATTATTTTTTGTTTTCTTTGTCAAGCCAAGAATGAGATTCCCCCACTATTTTTTTGAATACCTGAACAAACTTGCAATGAAATTGTTAAAGGTGTGTGCGCGTGTGTGTATGTGTGCGCGTGCCATTTTTCACCTTTCTGTTTTTGCTATGTTAACATGTGACCTTTGTTCTTGAGCAAATGTTGAACGTTTATGTAATTCCGATTTATTGATGTAAATACATGCACTTTAATATAATGTGAAAGGTTTTCAAATGTTTTTGATTTGTGACAGTTTGTGCTGATTTGGTAAATTCATCCGGAGCCCATCTGTGCAATGTAGGATTTTCTGCTCTACTGTTCTTAAAACTAAAGCAAAAAAGATCATGTTGCCCATTATATTCGTCATGTGAATAATATTTCAGTCATAATAGCCGTGTATTATTTTTGCAGTTAGTTTTTAATCATCGGGATGTCTTTTACACACTGTGGCATTGATTGGGCAAGGATTAGTTGTTTTTATACGAGACTCTCGGACTGTCCGCCATAAGGTCGTGAGGTGGAACAACCCCACACCACACCCCTACACACCCCTCCCCTCCCCGCACACACACACTCATACCCCCCACCCCCTCCCAGAATCCTTGGGAAAGGCACTTAATTAACATGAATTTTTGTTACTTCACTCATCAAATAGCAATGTATTATACTTTTTTCAGTTAGTTTTTATCGTCAGGCCGCTTCTCGGCCAATCATGAAGTCATGCCTGTGGCGGGGCAAAGGGTGAACGAGATAATGTTTGTTCCGTCATTCTTTAGCACGGCAATAATTTCTTGTTTATGAAAAATTGACTGACAGAGGCGGAGAGCAAAGTAGTGAGTATTTTTTTTGTTAGAGGTAAAAAATAAGAAAGTTGGAGAGCTTATGCAGTTGCGAGCGCCGTAAAACCTCTACTAAAACTAAAAAGTTGGAGAGACAGAAAAAACCCCCAGTAAATCTTTTCAGTGCTGCGGTCTAAGTATGCGTTGTTGTATCTTGTCAGGCAAGTAAGACATTCTGTGGGTTATACCTCAGTCTCCGCATTACCTCTTGTTGTTTGTGATAAAAAGAATTTGGAGTTTTTTTTGTTATGGTAAGTGTTTTACAGCGCTTGCAACTGCATAATGTCGTTTGAGCGCGCAGGACACTCTAAACTTTTTCAGTTGGTAGGAAATTTTGAATTTTGCCCGGGTGGCGGCAGAAGCCTACTCTTATCGATTTTAGACCACCTAGGGATCGTTAATGTGTGCAACTTGCACATGGGCCCTCCGAGATTTTTCGCCCATGTCCGAGAAGGCTAGGTGCAGATCTTTCCTACCGGATGATCAGGGGTGTGGCTGAAAGACAGCAGTAAGGAGGAGCCAAGGAGTAGCAGTAGAAAGACTGCAGAAAGAGTCCGGAGCCCGGAGGAGGGGGGTAAAGGAGGTGAGGGGGTGGGGGCGGAAAGTGGAGACGAAAGCAGACGACAGAACATTGCTAGAGAGCAGGAAAGGAGGTGAAAGGAGACAATTTTAGAGAAGAAAGTCTAATTTGAATATCTTGAATTTATTGAATGCAGAAAAGTGTGTGTGACGGGTTTGGAAGAGGAGGGGGGGGGGGGGGTACTTGGCCAGTACTATTTTGACTTGTAGTGTGGGTAGAGTCTGTTTTTTTGGTTTTGTAAAGTTGACAATTATGCAATAGAGTGTTTCGGAATGTAGGATGTTTGAGTTTGTACAGTACTGTGACCATGTTTCTAACCAAAGTTACCTGTAGCATTTCTCATTGGTCACTTGTGACTTGTCCAAGTAAAAGCGACCTCATGGTTTCCCTGTACATTCACATGAGACTTTGTGAAAGATTTTGGTAGAATAAAACCTTGTTGTCGGTAGTTAGGCTCTGTGTGCGTCTGCTCGTCTGTCTTGTTAGTCCCTTCTCTTTGACCTTGGTTGAACACTTTAACAAACAATCAGTATTTAGTAGTATGATTCTTTAATGGCACTTGAAGCAATAGAAATCCACTTCTACAGAATCAATGCAGTTTTCAGGGAGTATTTTCATCATAGGTCGGGTATTGAAACTCTGCTGTGATGTATTTTTACTGACCTGAGAGAGATATATATATATATATGTAGAAATGTCTTTGCACACTAGACTTGGTGGTGAATATAGTTGTTATTATTGTGCTTCGTGGCGTCGGTGGCCTAGTGGTTAGGCTCTCGGACTCGCAGCCGTAAGGTCGTGGGTTCGAATCCCGTCAGGGGCCCGACGTTGTGTCCTTGGGAAAGGCACTTTGCACAAATTTTCCTCACTTCACCCAGGTGAAAATGGGTACCCGGCCATAGACAGTGAAAGATCTTGTCAGTTTGATAGTGTTTGAGCGCGTGAAATCCGCAGCTTGCACTATATGCTTCTGCGGGAGCTGAGAATGTTTCTGAGTGTTCTCAGAGGGTCTGCTGGGGTAATAATGGTTGTAAAGCGCATATAGCATGCTCTTCAGCATGAATATGCGCTATATAAATGCAATTATTATTATTATTATTCTGTTTAACTTTCGGCATTTGGTGTCTTCTTCTCTTCTAGGGCTGTGTGCTGATCGGAAGTGGGCTGAATTGTCTGTCTTTGGATTTTCCGTTTTCCATTTTTTCAACTTTTGGTTTCTCTCACCCTTAATAATCATAATAATAATAATAATATAACATTTTTGTAGTGTATTTCCAAAAACGAGCTTGGAAGGATGGCTTAGGACAGAGATAAATAGAAGGAGCTTGTATGTGGCCTATACCCTGCCAGGGGTGAAAGGCATTGATGATGATTTCCCCAAAAATAGCTCAATGCGCTTTACATTTGAATACCCATTTTCAAAACCTTTCTTACTACTTCCTTTCTTCTCATGCAGTATATATTTATGCACACACACTTTCACACACACACACACACACAGACACGCACATACACAAGGACTATTTTCGTTCAGAACAACTATAATAAAATGTTTAAAACAAAATTAACGTTAACAGCTTATGAAGGATAGACCTGTAGGAACAGAAAATGCTTAAGATGTCTTTTGAGCCTTATGGTTTCTAACACGACGGTACGTGTACGTGTCTTGGTACTAGTCCCAGGGGATGGCTTCTGTTTGTCCTTTGCAACCATTCTATTTATACCCACGTTTGTATAATGTACATATTCTATACTTAAAATGAAAACTGAACGTTCCTATTTATGAGTTGTGTGTGCAATGAGTGATGATGTATGTATTTTGTTGTTGTTATTGATCCAATTGGTGGTTGGCGGGTGCTCTGGTGTGGTCTGCTCCTTCTTTCCTCTCGAACACCTATCATCCTTATCGCTCTTCCTTCTTTTTTGTGTGTGTTACTCTCTTGTAACACCTCTAATATTTGGCACTTATATGACCTTTTTGTGTTGCAAGTGCCGTAAAACTCTTCTTACTAAAACCAAAACAAACGATCCAATTGTTGAACGTATAGGTTCAGGGTGTTGTGTCGGCATTTTCTACTCACAGCACTGGTGTTGTTGTTGTTGTTGTTGGTGTTGTTGTTGTTGCTGTTGTTACGTTGATATGTTGTTCTTGCAGGTTGTGTGGAGGATGCTTCTGGCAGGTCCTGCCTTTGTCTTCTTCCTGTGTTGTTTATCTTTTGTTATGTTGGTTGAGGCTAGAGAGGTGAGCAGAGTAAGCCTGATTCCCCGTTTGGACTTCTCTGTTGACATCCACCCCTTGGCGCTCATATGACTTTACGCAGTTGCGAGCGCCGTAAAACCTTACTCAAACTAACTTTTGTTATGTTATGCCGGTTTTTGTTTCCGTCAAAGACTTGACGGTGGGTGGTTGGCGGGTGCTCTGGTGTGGTTTGCTTCTTCTTTCCTATGAAACATCTATCATCCTTATCTCCCCTTCTTCTTTTTTATGTTTGTTACTCTCTTGTAACACCTCTAATCTTCTGGCGGTCGTATGACCTTATGCAGTTGCAAGCGCCGTAAAACCTCTACTAAAACTAAACTGAACTAAACCTCTACTAAAACAAACTCACAGCACTGGTGTTGTTGTTGTTGTCTGTCTGTCTGTCTGTCTGTCTGTCTGTCTGTCTGTCTGTCTGTCTGACTTTTTCCCCAGCCAGCACTAAATGACCATTGTTGTTTCGATGAAGTTTTCTTTAATCGGACACACAAGCAAGCGTTAAAGACTTGACCCTGGGTCTCTGTATCTCAGTGATTCTTTCAATGAAATAGTATTAGCTATAACTTTCTCTACGTTAACTCCTTATCTCCGGCAAACCACTGGCAGTGGCTTGCTTTTGGAACCGCTGTGCCGGTGGTTTGCTGTCGGTGATTCGGCGTATTCCTTTACCACGAAATGACATTATGTTTGTTTTCTGCAATAACTGAAAATAGGCCTCTCTCTCTCTCTTTCTCACTCTCTCTCTCTTTCACTCACTCACACTCTCTCTCTCTCTCTCTCTCTCACACACTCTCTGTCTCTCACTCTCCCTCCTTCACTCTCCCTCTCTCTCTCTCTCTATTTGTGAGTTCGTTCATTAGATGAAGATTCTTCTTTCTTATCAAATATCTATCGTCGTTATCTTCCCTTCTTCTTTTTTATGTTTGTTACTCTCTTGTAACACCTCTAATCTTCTGGCGCTCATATGACCTTTTGCAGTTGCGAGCGCCGTAAAACCTCTACTAAAACTAAACTAACTTAGATGAAGTTTGAGATGGGTTCATTTGTTTTGATTTAATGACCAATTTAGTGGCCTGTGTGTCACTCTCAGTTTTTGTACCAAAAGAGGGCTCTGTCATATTGGGAAAACCTCCCGCGGAGATAACGAACTGATGGGTCTTGTCATTTTTTCCGTTACTTAGTGAGTGGTTGGGTTGTGTTACGTTTCAGTTCTGTCTATGCTCCAGGGTTGTGTCGGAATCATGCAGTCGTATCATGCTCCAGGGTTGTGGGGGCATCATACAGTCGCATCATGCTTTAGGGTTGTGTCGGCACCATACTATCGTGTCATGCTTTAGGGTTGTGTCGGCACCGTACAGTCGTGTCATGCTGCAGGGGTTCCCTCTGTTTGGTTGTGTCGCTATGACGTGAGGAGTGATTCTGTCCACTGTTTGGGTGTGTCGCTATGACGTGAAGAGTGATTCTGTCCACTGTGAGGTTGTGTCAGCTTCCCTCTGCTTTTTCTTTCCTTATCCTTACTATCGTCATTTTTTCCTCTACTTCTTTTGT